TAATTTTTTTTTTAACCTTTCATTTTTAAAATTTATTTTTGATGTTTGAAATCGTGTAAAGATGTAAAGTTTCGCTTTTAAACCTGACGGTCTATGGGGCAAGTGAAGTAGAGTTCACTTGTTTCTGTGATCTCTTAGCGCTATGCCCAGCCGCCTTAGCTTTCCCTAACGTGAGTTAGGTACCCATCAGAGTTGGGTGGACTCATGGACGGTCTACTGACTTCAACCCGGATTCGAACTCTAGACTTTCGGGTTATCAGTCCAGCTCTCTGCCGCTAGACCCATCTGTTAAGAAAATCTCTGTTTAAATCTGTTTTTTTTAATAATGCTTCCTGTAAGTAAGTAGGTCAAAATAATATGAAGCATGAATATTTGAAAGCTTTGTTTGTAATGGTTTCTTGCGTTATGTTTATGTATTTTTTTGGTATTTATATTATTAAAATTTAAATACATTTCATTTTTATGCTTTGTCATTCTTTATTATTTTTTTTAAAAATAATAATTAAGAGAAGTAATTGTTCTTTAATTTGTTTTGTGCAAATCTATTAAAAGGTGTTGAAGAGCACACATATTTGACTATTTAAAAAAAGGGAGATAAGTCATGGAAGTGGTTAGAACGTTAACCTATCTTTCACGCGATAGATTTATTTTCAAAATTTTTTTGCCGACAACAGCGTGTGCTTGATTGTAGGAGAAAGAGGACTCGGGATAGTGTCTATAGAAAAAGATAATGAAACCGCAGCTACAGTCTTCTTTTTACAAAACACAACCATCAAGTCAAAAATGCAAGAAAATTATTTTTTTTAGCTGTAAAAAAAATTGATTATGGTCGGCTGCGGGCCCCTAAACGGCCCGGGCCACCCCGCATTGCGGGGTCTGGCGGCACTGTAGTTCCGCCCCTGACATCAACATCAAATTCTTACATAATTTCGAACATCAAATGAAAACGAAATAGTAGTACAATATATTACAATATATTACAATAGTAATATTTCTTTCTTACTTGTAGCCTGCTTTCATTCATTTAAGATGGTTTACATATACATAGATGTAATACAAAACGTCTAAATATAAAGAAAAATTAAAAACCAACCTGAAACTGAAAATGCAAATGTGTAATTAAAATTAAATGATGATTCAAGGGATTTTTTTTTCTCGGCGTGGCGGGCTGAGGGGACGAGGGGGGGGGAGAGGGGGAATTGTCAAGGTAGAAAACATAGGTCAATATAGACAGCATGTTCAACATGGATAACATGTAACATTTTTCTACATAGACGACGTGTCACCTAGATGCAATATGTCGTGAATTTTTTTACTGTTATAAATGTAATTATATGTGAATGCAATAATAATTTTTTTTTTCATTAATAAAACGACTGCTCACAACTTTTTGAAACTTAATATTTACTACAAATTACAAAGTACCCCCTCCCTTTTATTTCTTGTACAAAGATGTAAAAGAAAGGGCGGTTTATACTAAAAGAAGAGATAAAGTTATCTCCCCTAATTGAGTCTAAATATAGCAGTATGCGGTTCGCCCTCTGTGTGTCACAGACAGATAAGGGTACACAGCTGCGGTTATTTTTTTTCCCTCACCCCCAAGGCCAAGATCGAATCTTGAACTAACCGGACTTATGCAAATAGCCATTTAAAATTGCCCTGGAAAAAATAAACCATAAAATGTCTTAAAATAACATTGCTCGTCTGAGATTGTGAAGACACTGACCCTAAATTATGTCGAACAACATTCTAGAAAAGGCGGCCATTCATTAATGACGTCATTCTTTTTAAATATTTTGTACTATATAACCAGAGCTTCTTCCAGGCATCTCTTCGGGGAGTGGGGGGCGGGGTGAGGGGGGGGGCGAAGAAAGTCTTAAGTCTACCGCCCCCCCCCCCCCCCCAACCCGAACGAAATGGAATTTATATAGAAAATATATACGTTTAACAGTGTCCTCCCCCCCCCCCTCTGAAATTTCAAGTGCCCCCTCCCCCCCCCCCCCCCCGGAGAAAAAAGTCTGGAAGAAACACTGCACACAAGCCCTCCCCAACGTCATACGTCATCACATAAAACCAGAACCCCCTAAAATGACGTCACACCTCAGCCTAACACTCCCCTCCTCCCCAATGTATTTTTATAAATTAATTTTAAAAAAAAAACAGCTATTTCTTTCTAAAATATTCGTTGAGGTCTGTCACCGTTGACTAGGCCTATGTTGGTCAACCTTAATACATTTTAAAAAATCAGTTTCTAATATTAATTTTAATATGCTGAAGTGCGTTGTTACACTTTCTGAACCCCCCCTCCCCCCTCATCCTGCATTGCTTTGGAAGTCCGAACTCCCCCCCTCCCTCCCCATCACACCCACCCACCCCTCGAGGCATGCCACGTCGTTGTTGTTTTTTTTTGTTTTTTTTTTTGGACTACCTCAAACTAAAATAAATAAGAAAAAAATCTAGATATTAGTTTACAACAATAAATGTGCATTCATTATCTTGAAAGACTCACTGTAAGAAGCGTTCAGTGGGGTTAAAAACTATTGCACCTGCACCGACTTTACACTTGCGACATGTATACTATACATATCTAGAGAAGAAAAAAAAAAGCTCGTAGCAAGTAAGTATACGTGTTCCGTGTGAAACATATTTTCATATAACCATAGCTTGTTGCGAGGTTTTTTCTAAACAAGTATGGTATACATGTCGCAAGTGTAAACGCGGTGTAATAATAAGGTTCTTGGGGAGAAATATTATCTGCATATTAAACTATACCTTTTTCTACCCCCCCCCCCCCACACACACACAATGAACGAGTATTAATTTTACCCAAAATAAATTTTACCGGAATGTTTTTGTGCATGAATTTCTTTTGGCGCAATTTTTAACTAGCGCAATTTGCTTCTCTCTCTGTTCCGAAAGCCCTAATTCATCACATTAATGTACACGCTTAACCCATAAAGAAGCAATTGAAACAAATTGAAATTTTCAGAAAAGAGGAAATAATAGTTGTTTCTTTTTTTCGTTTTGTATTTCTCAAGACAAGCTTTACTGGTGATGTCAAGCTTGTGCAATTGTTGTATGACACGAAAACAGCATAAAAATGTAATCAAGACCGCCTTGACCTTTCCGCGCTAGCCGAGAACACAATTGTTGAGATGCGGGTATGTAGGTCAACGGTTCCCAACCAGGGGTAACACGTGGGGGTCACACGTGTGGGTCACCATTTAACGGATTGTAAGTGGTAGCTCACGTGGTAAACCAAACTTAGTTTTATTAAGGTAGCCTGCAGCATCGATTGCAGTGTTTCTTCCAGACTTTTTTCTCCGGGGGGGGGGGGGGGGGGGGACTTGAAATTTCGGGGGGAGGCGGTTGACTTTCTTCGGGGGGGGGGGGGGGAGTCGGACACTGTTAAAAGTATATATTTTCTATATAAATTTAATTTCGTTCGGGGGGCGATAGACTTTCTTAGGGGGGGGGGGGGCTCCGTCTCCCCACGAAGAGATGCCTGGAAGAAAGTCTGATCGACGATTGGTGGTTGAAAATAAATCAGAAACTAAATTTTACGAAATGATTTCAATAATTCGTCTCACTTTAAATAATAGGCCGATTATTTTCGTACAATGGAGGTTTGAAATAAATCACAAACTGAAAATAAATAACAAATTGAATGGATTAATTACAATAATTTGCCTCACTTAAAATAATAGGCGGATTATTTTCGAATAGTTGAACAACATCCTAGAATGGAGGTTGAAAATAAATCACAAACTAAATGGATCAATTTCAATAGTTTGTCTCACTTTAAAAAGTAGACCGGCTATTGGATTACGTCTGTCACAGCAAGCAAATATTTGTCAATGTGCATTCTCTGTAAAATAATCCTAAATAATACTATGTCTATATTTTTGGTTCCCAGAAAAATGCGCAATGCAAAAACTGCGCAATGGAAAACTGCGCAAACAGTAAAATACGAAAATACAAACAAATTATAATACGACGCTCAAATTTTGCCATATTTTGTGGAAATATGTTTCATTATGCTACAGTGTACACGTATACTACTCGTTGTTAATGTCTATAATTGCTCGATTTTTATAAACAACTATATACAGAGTTTCTTCCAGGCATCTCTTCGGGGGAGCGAAGCCCCCCCGAAAATTTTTTACCGCCCCCCCCCCCCCGAACGAAATGAAATTTATATAATTTATATAGAAAATATATACTTTTAGCAGTGTCCGCCCCCCCCCCCCCGAAGCAAGTCTACAGCCCCCCCTCCCCCCGAAAATTTCAAGTGCCCCCTCCCCCCCCCCCTCGGAGAAAATAGTCTGGAAGAAACACTGACTATATATAATATATAGGCCTATATATTTATATATAATATAAAAACCGTCCCAAAAAAAGCGAGATGTTATTTTTTTAAGGACGACTTTAAATACTGAATACGAATAGTCTGCTTTTTCTATACATCAATTTTAAAAATGTGTTTCTTTCATATATTTTTATTGGGGGGGGGGGTGTACTTTAAACATTCATGGGGTGTTAGTGGGGGGGGGGAGTGTAATAAAATTTCCGGGTGGGAGGAGGGGGACTCTGGTTAAGTATATATTGTCTATATAAATTGTTTATTTTTTCTATTTCTTCCGGAGGGGGATGGGGTGGTGGATTGTCTTTGGGGGAATCTACCCACCCCTCGAAGCCATGACTGAAAGAAACTAATTAAAAAATAAAATAATTCGGATTCAACTTAAACTTCAAATAATGTCTGTAAAAATATTTAGCCAACTAAAATATATCCGTACACCTCAAAGTAAATTATCAAGAAACTAGACCAGACTATAGAGCTTAGAAAGACTAAGTGGTGTGTAGTAGTAGTATTGTCTCAACACTCAAATTAAAAATTTTAAAAAATTGGACCATTATAAGTTGGACCACATAGAGAAAGGGGGTCTTTTGAAATGCTTGCACCAGCCTGTCTCCAAGCAAGCTATGATATCGATTGATAATGTAGATCGGCGGGATCTCAAAACAATTAATAATAATAATAACAGGTGTTTCAGTTGTAATTAAAAGAACAGTGATGTTTGACGATTAGATCTATACCAATGTGACATTGGATTTCAATTAGATCTAGATTCTAGATCTAGTAGTTTACTAAGAAATAGAATCAAGTAAGAAACTGTCTGTCGACTTGTACTCACACTCACTGTTGTGACGTACAGTTACAGTGTGTACTACTGTGTACTGTGTACGTACTGTCTGGACTCTGTAGTCTGTACACTGTAGATCTAGTGTTTTTTACTCAAGTTTACTATTTTACCAAACATTTCATTACTTTACTTAACTATAATAGTAAAATGTCTACTCTTAAATCTACTAAAGTACTTTTAGTCAAGTTTCAAGGATAAGACTTTATTTACTCACTTTAGTTGACTTTTACTTTTAACTTTACTGATTACTTTCACTTGATTGCCCTTACGCCTTACTCACTCAGTCTTTCTGATTAAGGCCTTAGGCTACTTATGTAGTTAATTTTAAATTTACTGTTACTCAAGTCACAGTGTCAGTGTGTGTACCTGTGCTGGTTAAGTTAGTGAACTTAGGACTTAGACTTTAGTCTAGATCAAATTAATTACTTAATAAATTACTAGATCTAGTCTAGACTTCTAGCTAGCTAGAGTTAGTAATAAAGTTAGTAGGCCTAGCTAGCTAGTAAGTTCCCCTTTCAAACCTGACGGTCTATAGGGCAAATGAAGTTGAGTTCACTTGTTTCTGTGACCTTGACATTTGAAGAGATGGTGTGGTCAGCACTATGCCACATGCCCAGCCGCCTTTACTTTCCCTAACGTGAGGCCTTTACTTTCCCTAAAGTGAGTTAGGTACCCATCAGAGTTGGGTGGACTCAGGGACGATCTACTGACTTGAACCCGGATTCGAACTCGAGACTTACGGGTTAGCAGTCCAGCTCTCTACCGCTAGACCACTCCGTCCCATAGGCCTAGCTAGTATTAGATAAAAATTAGTAAGCGTGTTATAGTAGTAGTTGCAGAGTTGTTCTAGAATCATACCACAATATAGTAGTAGTAAACCTACTCTAACAACTTGCTAGTAACTAGTAACCAGAGTTCACTACTAGAGTTAACTAGAGTATTTTGTATCTGATCTTGACTAATCCAGAGTCTATAGACTAGTGACATAGTGGTACTATTATTACTATTTAACTACTTACTAATTACTACTACTAATTCTTTGCCTACTTGACTAGTGTAGGCCCTGAATATGTACTTTAACTTAACCAAGTAACGAGACTTAACTTGAATAACTGAACCAGACATCACTAGACACTTGAAGTGATAGGCCTGGCTTAGTAGGCTTAAATGTCTAGGTCTAAGATTTAGACTCAAGGAAACACTGAAACAGCAACTGTTTGTAGACTACTGTTACGTTATTGATGAGGGTTATAGACTAGAGTACTAGTAGAGTTAGGGTCACTCTTAGAATAAGAGATTATAAGGCTTATTTTAATGCTCATTTATAAATGAGAATTAAAATATTTTAGGTAATTTCTATAATTAAACTTTGAAGTAAATTTTATTTTTGAAAATTTTTATTTTTTTAAAAATGTTAGCAAAATGGCTCCCATCCCTGTGCTGATGATCCTGTATAGCAGTGATGCTGTTGAAGTTCGTTATTCTGATGGGTCGGTCTTGGAGCTGTCACCTTGTGGTTCTACTATGATTCATCATCAACCTGCCCCAAAGGGAGAGCATCCCATTCATGGTAAAACTTTAAACACGCTTTGTTTCTTTTGCAATTCTTTTTACTATGCTGTACTAAAATTTTGACCAAAACTACTTCCATTAAAGTGATTGTGTGTCCTAGCGGTAAAGCACTAGACTGCTAACACAAGAGTCTCTAGTTAGAATCTAGTTTCAAGATAATATAACGGCCCTGAGTACATCTAACTCTGACGGGTACCTAACTCATGTTAGGGGAAGTAAACATGGCTGGGCATATTGCTGACCACACGATCCCTTTAAATGCAGAGGTTACAGAAACAGGCAAACTCTAACTCACATAGACCATCAAGTTTGTAAGGGAACTTAACCCTAAAATTGCAGTTATTTATGTTATTTGCTCTTTTAAAAATAGCCTCAGATATAGCAACTATTGTGTTTTTTTATCATATTGATCTCTGACAATTGTCTCTAACTATTTCAGAGCTAACAAAAAAGATTCAGAAGCGTACAAGGTATGTGACCAGTGAACACAGAAACAAAGTACTCCAGGCCCTTGATTTTAGGAACAGATTTGCTGACAGACCGTATCTGTGTGAGGAGTTAATGTCCAAGGAGGAAATTTTGGCAAGTTCTTCAACAATTATTTTTAAGATAAAAAAAAACAATATCAAAATAATAAACTTTAAAGTTTGGTTTATAGGAAGAATTTTGATAAACTCTTCAACAATTTTTTTTTAAATAAAACAAAAAACCTTTCATTTTAGAAAAGAAATACAAAAGTTACTTTTTTATTGTTTGGTTGATCAAAATATAAGAAATTATGTAGGTAATCATATAGACGTTATGCACAAAATTGAGTTAGCATTAAGTATTCCTACCATGTACCTTTAAGTAGAGATATTTACATCAGGGGCAATCAGATAAGCTTACCAGATTTTTGAAATATAGTTTTAATGTAATCCATTTTTGATCATCATCTTTTCCTGTTTGTGCCTAAGGCGCATTGGGCAGGTAGAGTCCATCTGCTTCAGAGACCTCGACATATGAAGAGATAGTGTGGTCAGTACTATTCACAGCCACCTTTGTTTTCCCTAATATGAGTTAGGTACCCATCAAAGCTGGGTGCACTCAGGCACATTCTACAGACTTGAACCAGGATTCAAACTCAAGTCTTTTGGTTAACAGTCTAGATCTCTACTGCTAGGCCATGTAGTCCTATTATCCATTTTTGTTGCTAATCTTTCTACAGAAAAGGTATTAAAATTTTCAAATTTTTCTATTTTAGACATTGTATGCAAAGATTGACCGCATTGCGTGGCCTAAAGCAGCGGAGGCAAAGATTGAAGTCTTGCCCGATGGAAGCAGGAGGATAACCTCTGTGGATGAGTACGCCAGCCTGATTGTCTCCCCTCATGGCCAGGACTTCACAGTCTGCTATCTGTCACAGATTAGTGCAGACAAGAAAAAACACAAACACACATTCACACAGTCAGCTGACTCAAGTCACTCTCCACAACCACCTTTCAGGAAAACACAAAAGTCCCTGTGTGTTCATTCAAAGGGAAATTCACACGGAAAATTACCTGGAGAATATCAAGATGATTTGGATAATCCCAGGGCTAACGAAGCAGTAGTCCATCCCTTTAAGACGGTAGACCAAAAGCATTTACAGGACACAAATAGAAACTCAAATATGAACAATTTATCACAAGGTCCAGATTTTTATGTTAATCAACTGAAAGAAATGGTAATTAACCAATCTTCAGATAGAGAAAATTTCACTGGATCTATGCACAATCCATCTTTAAACACAAAGGTCTCCTCAAAATCTCCACAAACAGACCCTACAGTGAAGCCAGACTTGGCTCAGCCTGTTGCACTTGACAGTGTGAACAACGACAGTGTAGTTGTAGCCAAACCTCAGACACCCAGAGTTGTCCCCCCTTTTGCCACAGGCTCCCCAAACTCCCACGAAATCTCCAGCATCAGCCGCTCCTCCACCCCTGATGGGTTGAGGACCATTGTTGACTCCGACGCAACCCTGACCCACGACAGCACGGCCGACTCCCACTCAAAGGGTGTGTCGTATAAACAACGACACAGCTCGCCAACGCACTACACATCAAGCCCTTTTGAGAACCCTGAGCCTTTGAACACCAAGAAAAGAAATAGATTCACAGCCGATGTATCACTTAGTGGTTCGTTCTTAGGCAACCAGAAAGAAATAGTCCAGCCGGTTGAAGATAAGTGTCCAGCTGGAACTGACCAGCGTCCAGCGTATAGTAACCAGTGTCCACCTTATAGTGACCAGCATCCACCTTATAGTGACCAGTGTCAAGCTGGAAATGACCAGCATCCAGCTTATACTGACCAGCGTCTAGCTTATAGTGACCAGTGTCCAGCTGGAACTGACCAGCGTCTAGCTTATAGTGACCAGTGTCCAGCTGGAACTGACCAGTGTCCAGCTTATACTGACCAGCATCTAGCTTATAGTGACCAGTGTCCAGCTGGAACTGACCAGCGTCAGATCAATACTCACCAGCCTCAAACTTCTCACACTAATCCAGACCAGGATTCTACTCTAAAAAATAGTTCCGGAACATTCTCACCAGACAGCTTAGAGATCCAAAAAACTTTACTGGCTGGCTCAGCTCAGACAAGCAGTCCAGGTCATGCCAAAACATTGTCTGGTGAAAAGTATGACAGTCACATAGAAAAGAGACAAACAGCATTGTCTACAGACATTAAGGAGAACTTGGGGCTAGAGCTCACAGATGCAGAGAGTGGGAGTGTAGAAAGACACTTTTACGTGTGGTCGACCAAGCACGGTTCAAGAAGTGACTGCTCTGTTGAGTGGTCCTACCCTCTCAAGCTGGCTATTGAAGGCAGACTAAAACAAAGTTAGTTGTTTTTTTTTTTTTGTTTTTTTTTTTTAAATCTACATAATACTATTTTTAAAAATAACAATTTTTAATAAACAAATGCTATAAAATCTTTACTATCAAATTACATCATATAATTTGACACGGAAATTGCAATTATATTTAACTTTTTTTACTAATACATCTGAAAATTGATCTTATTCTGCTTTGAGGTTTAAGTTATTACAAAAATTCAATAAAAAGCAACAGAATTATTATTGTAATGTGGCTCTATGTTCTTTTAGTGGCAGTAAGGTGGGACAGTAGAGCTTATGACTGCTAACTCAAAAGTCTTGAGTTTGTATCCCATAATCTAATCTGTAGGACATAACTGAGTGTACCCAGCTTTGACGGGTACCTGACTCAAGTTATTGAAACTTAGATGGCTAAGCATAATGCTGACCACACCATCACCCTGTATGCCGAGATCATTAAAATAGATGAACTCTGCTCCATTGTCCTATGTTTCTTTGTCATGAATTCGAAAAGATGATTATGTGTTCTGCTATTTTTTTACTAACATTTATATTCATATATTTTAATTACCAGTAAAAATTAATCTATATTTTTCACTATTCCCAAAAAAATCTCTTTCCCCACCCCTCAACAACCCTTAACTGCACAGGTGCAGATTATTCTACCTCCCGCCCCACCCAGGAAGAGCTTCAAACAGCAAAGGTCATAGGTCACTCTAGAGACACTGACTACAGCCACACCCAGGTGCCCCTCCCCCTGCCCCTAACCTGCCCCTTCCAACACAAAGACAAGGAATTCCTGAACCAGCTTGAGGAATCTATGGCTGAATCCTCAGACAGCGGGTTCCAACGTGGCAAACTCAAAGTCATTATTTCAGAGAGCGTTGTTTACCGGTGAGTAGTTTTAGTTACACATTTTAACCTTTAAGCCTTTTATTTTTAAATCATTTCTGTTAAACTTACAATATAAATTGTATCACATTTTTTTTTACAGTTTATGTATTTCGTATTAATTCTCTTTAACACTGCATTTACACTTGCAACCTGTATACTATATACGTCTAGGAAAAAAACATTGCCGTAGGTTAATTTTATCAGAACATGTATAGGCCTACTCCCTTATTGCAAAGTTTTTTTTTGCTAGACGAGTATAGTATACATGCTGCTAGTGTAAATGCAGTGTTCAGGCTATATTTTCATGCAACACTGTAATCAGTTTTAACACTTCTCTTTAAATAAAAATGTCTATAGAATTGTTTGTTTGTTCACCAGTCTTGTACAGTGTGGGGACATCAAAATGATTGAAGTCTACCCTGGGGATGGGAGTGTTCTGGTCTCTCAAGGTGTCAAGGGACATTTCTATGTTCATTATGTTTTGGTTGGAGAGCAGGTCAGCACTCTTCAGTTTTAAAGTTTTAGTTTGTTGGTAGGGGTGTAATGGTGTCTAGCAGTATTTCTATGTTCATTAGGCTATGTTTTGGTTGGAGAGCAGGTTAGCACTCTTCAGTTGTAAAGTTTTAGTTTGTTGGTAGGGGTGTCATGGTGTCTAGCAGTATTTCTATGTTCATTATGTTTTGGTTGGAGAGCAGGTCAGCACTCTTCAGTTACAGAGTTTTAGTTTGTTGATAAGTGGCAGTGGTGTTAAGCAATAATTCTCTGTTCATTATATTTTTGTAGTAGAACAGGTTTGTACTTCTCTTTCAGAGGATTTTTATTATTTCTAATGTAAAAAAATTTTCTGAAAGTAGTATTTTACACAAATTTTCTATTTAGGTTTTTACGACTAATTTAGTGAAAAACTTCACCTCAAATCTTTACTGATTTTCTTTCCTTAAGAGCGAAAAAAAGTTTTTTTTAATAGTCTAAAGCAGGGGTCTCCAAACTACAGACTGCGGGCCGCATTAGGTCTTCTCATCTGGCCCGTGGAGATCTTTTTGTCCACAGAAAAGATTTTTGTTGGAGGTGGCTGATCAACTTTGCCAAGAAAATTCAAAACAATTTGAAAATGTAGCCAACTTGAAGAAATTCCTACAAGAAACTCTGGCCCCCGAACAGAAATTTTATAGTTAATGCGGCCCTCTGGCTGAAAAGTTTGGAGACCCCTGGTCTAGAGTTATCTCACACGGAACAGTTTTTTTTTTCTAACCAGTAACACTTGAATGAATTTTGTGTTTCTTGTTTCAGCTAGAAGAAAGAACATACTCATTGAAATCTCTGCCTCCTGGTAAACCAAAGGGCAGATACTCATTGGAAAAACTGATCAAAACAGCAAACAGGTGAGAGTCATATACATCAGGACTTCAATTCAAAGAGGTTTTAAGGTCTCATTTAAGGAAAATTTTTATATTATATTTTTATTTTATATTTATGAAAACATGGTTGCAGAGATAGGACATTTTTATTTCAAGCCTAGTCTTCTTGTATGCTGAATATTGTGTTTCCCTCCCATTTTAACTTCTGTTAGTTAAAGCCTGCATTTTAAACCCCCCGGGCAGATAAACCTTGATACCTGGGGACAGTTATCTCACAGTAATCCATCAAGGAGAGACAACTTCATAATCAAACAACTGCTGCCATGTAGTTTGTTCTTGGATAGACAAAGGCTATGGAAGCAAACCCAGAAAGAAAAGCAGGCTGAATTCTGAGTCAGCTGGCTATGTGGTGCATAAAAGTTGACACGTAATACTTAATTGTGTTGGAGGAAATCATATCCAACATTACAATCAAGTACTGAGAAGAAGAAGATAAGGGTATGGCGGGGGTCGGGTGGTAGAGCTTACATCTTCAAACCAGAAATTCATGAGTCCAGATTCCTTCTCAAGATCTCTCGAAACGTTCTTGAGTTCACTCAGCTCTCATGGTGATGTTAGAGAAACTGAGGCAGCTGAGCACACTGCTGACCATATGTTGAGGTCATTGAAGCAGATGAACTCAACTTCATTTGTACCATGTTCCTTGGGCACAAATAGAAAAAGCTGATGAACAGAATGTTAAAGCTGATGTTTGAACTTCCTCTACCCACTTGAAATGTTGTTGCAGGTTTTTATCAATGAACAACCAATGGGATGTGAGGGGGATTAGTGAGAAATCTCCTTGCTGGAAGGTAAGAATTGTTGACTTTCTTCTGTGTATAACTGGCTTGGGGGTCTTGTTGCTGGAAGGTAAGAAGTGTTGCAACTTTCTTCTGTGGATAACTTGCTTGTGATCAGTGAGAAATCTCCTTGCTGGAAGGTAAGAAGTGTTGTGACTTTCTTTTGTGTATAGTATAACTGGCTTGGGGTCTCCTACACTATAGTATTTTATACCATTGCCCTTTACTTCATACAATGCATATCACAAAATGACAAACCACCCTTACCCCCTTCAAGCTCTGTTTCCCTTTAACCCATACAACAACAATATAATACCAAACAAAGGAAGTTAGCCAGAATGTGTACACCATCTCTTATAATACAACATTATTTCTATCTGGCTCCGTTAGGTTTCAGTGTTGTGCTTTAACTTAGTCATATCTGAATTAGGCTTTAGTATTACGCTTTAATTAATCACATATCTAAATTTGGTCTCACTACTGATCTTGACTTAGTCACATATCTAAGTTAGATTTCAGTATTGTACTTTACCTGGTTACATATCTGAATCAGGTTTCAGTATTGTACTTGACTTAGTCACATACCAAATTTGGTTTTGGTAGAGTACTTTATCTAGTCACATATTATTGAAATGTTTCACAGAAAGAAATTGTTGCTGTTGTTGAGCCATTATCATCCTCCTTGCTTGAAGAGTGCTGTGTTGAAGGCCTGGGGAAATTTTCTGCTTTCACAAATGGAAGAGTTCGAGTAGTGTTTGAAGACAGGGCAGCTTTAGACCTGGTTTGCAATTTTCAACGGCGTTTGTCTGAATGCCTGCAACACAGTAGAGAGTTACAAGTAACAAAATTCTATAATTTCAACATTTTAGTATGTTTTATATTATCATCTTTTCCCGTTCATTCCCAAGACACATGGGGCAGATGAAGTAGAGTTCATCTGTTTCAGTGGCCTCAGCATTTGAAGGGATAGTGTGGTCAGCACTATGTTCAGCTGCCTTTATTTTCCCTAATGTAGTCAGGTACCCATTAGAGCAGGATGAACTCAAGGATGTTCAACTGGCTTGAACCTGGATTCAAACTTGAGACTTTTAGGTTAGCAGTCTAGCGTCCTACCGCTAGGCAATGCTATTCCATATGGTTTATATATTATTTATTAGTCATGCCAAAAAAAGGTTCCTAGCTTATATCAAAAGTTATAACATTATAAAAATATTTTACGTAAGTTTATTTCTCCCCAGACATCTCTGCCAGGTGCGGAGATGGTGACCCCACCACTGACCACCACAGATTCTGTTATTGGTACCAGTTCAGCTCGACTCCTCCTTCCCTCTGGGAGATACGTCACAGTGGACTGTCTTAACCCCGGGCCTTACAAAAAGTAAGTGAGAATATTTAGCAGACTATTTCATGTATTGTCTTAAAATGTTTTTTTACTTTGCATGTTGGCCTTAAAAAGATACTTTTTAAGTAAATCATAAAGCAAAGTAATGTTTACTAACGCTGTTTAATGGTACTTAAGACATTTAAAACTAAAATGAGTTTGGTTCAGAAGCTCAACTCACTAGGACATTCCTAAGTCCACCTTTCTCTGATGGGTACCTGAAAGTATGACTGGGTGTGTATAGCCCTGCCCACATGATTCATTTATGTACTGAGGTCAAAGAACTCTACTTCATCTGTCTGTTAAGATTTTGAGAAAAGGATAGCTACACATAAAACTAAATTTATTTCCTACACATGTAAAACTTTAAGAAACCATTGGTTGGGGAATAGAGTGCACGACTCTTAACCCAAAAGCCTTGAGTTCAGATCCTAGATTTTCAAATCTTTAGGGCATCCCTGAGTCCACCCAGCTCTGATGAGTAGGCTATCTGACTAACATTAGGGAAAGCTACAGCTTAGAACTGACCACACTATCCAATTATCTAAGGGAGCTCACAGAAACAGGTGAACTCAACTTTATCTGGCCTGTGAAATTGCTTTTGAATTGTGCATGTTATCAGGTATCTTAAGTTTTTACACATGAAACTAATTTTAAAAAACTTGAAGTGTTTTAATTCTATAACCTACGATGTTTTTTTTTTTCCAGCTAAATAAAATATTTTGTTTTATTTTTTTAAACTTAACATCTGTGTGTGTCTCAGGTACATTCAGGCAGCACACGAATGGGCCATGTGGGTCAACGCCTCGCCCCTAGAGCGTCAACACTTCTACACACAACTCTACGCACCAGCTATTATCCAACAGTAGGTCATTTTGTACTATCACATCAAACAAAACCTTGTGTCATATAGAGATTGTTTTCTTTACAAATATATAAATTGAAATAATTGTATGTGTGTGTATTTACACATATAGATGTATTATATTTCTTTCTTTTGTGATTATTTTTAAGGATTTAATGAACCCATTATTGATGTTAAATGGAGGAAACAATTTTTTTAAAATTTGAAGTTGCAAGTTTGATATTTTTAAAAAATGGGTCAGCGTGGTTAGATTGTAGAGCGTATGACTGCTAACCCGAAAGTCTCAAGTTTAAATCCTGAACAACGTCCCTGATTCCACCCAGTTCTGGTGGGTACCCGACTCACGTTAGGGAAAGTAAAGGCTGCTGGGCGTAGTACGGACCACATTATCGCTTCATATGCCAAGGTCACTGAAACAGGTGAACTCTACTTTACCTGCCCGATGGGCCATCAGGTTGAAAGGATACTTTACTTTACCTTTTGGTATCTAATTAATTTAAAGCAAATGATTTAATTAAAATAACTATTTTTCAGGGTGGTTGACAGTGAGTTGAAGAGAATAAACTGCTTCAAATGTATCCTTGCTTTGATTAAATGGAAAACTAATTTTTACATCATTGACCTATTATTGAGATAATTAGTACTTAATTGTTAATGATGATTGCATCTTGTCGCAATTAACTAACACAGTTCCTGCCTGGGAAATTATTTTTCTTTATGATTTTAAAACCAGCTGATGCAGTATTTCTCTCAAATTCTTTTGAAAGTCCAAACCTCTAAAATTATTTACATTTTTCTTATTTCAATAGCTTTTTTAAACAGCATTTAATTTTTACTATTTTGTTTTAAATGGAAAGTACTTTAATATATATAATATTTAGAAGGTATATCTAATGTCACTTTGGTGCTTTTACAGCTACTGAATCTAATTTTGACCCTAGCAGCAATACACACAGAAAATATACAGTATATTGTGTTGCAAACATTTTTTATTAAAACCACATTTTTTTGGTTTAATCAGATGGTTAACTGAAAAAATGTCTCTATGGTGAATGCTCTACTTCTTAAAGTTTAGATTATTTTAGTGTGTCTTATACATTTAGTATAAGAACATACAATTTTTAAATGTTAATTTAATTTTAAACAGTTAATTAACTAAACTAATTTCATTGGTTGATGTAGTTCTTCCTTAAGTTTTGACCAGACATGCTGGAGCACACCATAGCCAAACAGAATCAAAGTAAATCAAATCAGCTGGCACAATCTGCCAACAAAAACAGCTCTTACAAACCTGCAATAGCAGCTAGTTCTCAAAATTCTAATATGGGACATTTTAACACAAAAGATCCATTACTGAGAGATCATATTCCTTCAGTGCATGATCAGTCCTACCCTCCATCAAATTTAAGAAGTCAGACACATCCAATGCATGACCAGTCCTACCCTCCATCAAATTTGAGAAGTCAGACACATTCAATGCATGACCAGTCCTACCCACCATCAAATTGTACAAGCCGGACACATCCAGCTTATGACCATATCCGCCATCCACCAATGTTGAATGATCCAACATATCCTTCATCCGTCCATCCCCACCGTCCATCAAAGCTCAGATGGTCCAACACAAAAGAGGATGAAATTCTGCAAGGTTTTCAAAATGTCAGACAAGTTCTTTTACAGAACTCAAATCTCATTCAAGACATTGACAATTTTTTGGAAAAGAGCAAATCATCCTAGCAAGATCATTGATAATTAAATCTTATAGCCTAATAGTTAAACACAGATATAAAGAGTCAGGCATCTCACTAGTGAGCTAAGCGTTCTGGGTTCAAATCCTGATCAGTGATGGAATTCAGTCAGGTAATTGACTGTTGAGTTTACTCAGTTCTTAAAAGTTCCTGACATATATTGAAGGAACGCAGCTAATGAACATTGTAGAGATTCTTGTATGGTCTTACAAAAGATGACCTCAAGTACATCTCCCCTCCTGGAATTTGTTTACATATTTTTACAGTATTTTATATCCATGTGGTATAAGATTTTGCCTTAAGCTAAACCTAACTTACTAAGTATGGAAATAATGACCATAATGGCATTTATTTTGTTCTAATCAGTCAAGAATTCATTGTAACGATTCCTGACAAATTGTTCTGTGGTAGGGTTCGGCGTGGTCGAGTCAGTAAAGCTCATGGTTGCTAAACCGAAAAGTCTCGAGTTCGAACCCTCGGGCAGATGAGGCTCGTTAGCTGGGGACAGCCACTCTTCTAGGAGAGACAACTCCAAAATTAAACAACTGCTGCCTTGTAGTTTGTTCTTGGTTGGACAAAGGCTATGGAAGCAAATCCAAAAAGAAAAGTCAATGGCCTCAATGGCGCATAACCAGTTGACACGTAACACTTAATTGTGTTGGAGGCGTGGTCGAGTCGGCAAAAAGCTCATGGTTGATAAATTCGAACAAAGTCTCGAGTTCAAACCCACTGGCAGATAAATCTCGATCCCCTCAACACGAAGAAGAAGAAGAAGTTCTGTGGTCTGGCTCAGTCATATGACTTTACCAGGACAATATATAACAGACAGAGCCAAAGAGAACTTTATCAAGGCCAGTCAGCTCTAAATAGTACCCGGCATTGGTTGGAATAAACTTATTTTTTCTGCCCTTGACTGCTAATATCTTGCAAACTACTCAATATTTTTCACAAAAAATTCAGTTGTATATAAAATATGTATAACAATGAAAAAACCAAGATTTCTCATTTTAGCATCTAGTGCCTTATTTTGTGATTGTTTTTCAAATATTTGCCAAAAAACAGTATTTGCTTTAATGGTCTTATCTGAGAACATGCGTGATTCAATTTTTTCTGTTATTCAATATTCAACTAGCCCAGCAATCAGAAACTTTTTGGTAGAACACTAGCAGCTTATTTAGTGAGTTAAATTGTAAAATTATGTAACATTTATTCTCATCTGAGAACAAATTTCTAACACAAAAAGCCGTTTTTGTTCAGTGTAAGATCCACACTTGTTCAAAGCACTATAATTGTTCAGTGAAAGTCATGCTTCAGTGAAAGTCATACTTCAGTAAAAGTCATACTTCAGTGAAAGTCATACTTCAGTGAAAGTCATACTTCAGTAAAAGTCATACTACAGTGAAAGTCATGCTTCAGTGAAAGTCATACTTCAGTGAAAGTCATGCTTCAGTGAAAGTCATGCTTCAGTGAAAGTCATACTTCAGTGAAAGTCATACTTCAGTAAAAGTCATACTACAGTGAAAGTCATACTTCAGTGAAAGTCATACTACAGTGAAAGTCATACTTCAGTGAAAGTCTTGTTGAAGAGCCATAATTGTTCAGTGCAAGAGGAACGAGCTCCTGCAAGTGACCTTTGACCCAGCCAATGATAGATTATGCAAATTAGCTATAACAATACAGGTATTTATTATGGCAAGTGTTATGTTGCCAGGATATTCTCCCAAGTAAAATTTTACCATATGAAGTATGGTTTTGTCCTGCTTATTTCACATTTCTGGCCCAAAGTATTCAAGTTCTAACCACTGTGATAATCCAACCAGCTTAGGCTGACACATAATGGAGAGTAAAGACTATGCAAACTCTTTACAATAGTCAGGTGAAATGTTTATCTTTGTTGTAGAACTTCATGTAATGTGGTGTATTAATGTGGCTTGCGTATAACAGAGCTTTGCACCTGAGTCAACTTGGTCCATGCTAATGATGTCAGTCATTAACACCTATAAAAGCAAATTGTTTTAGCTAATTATATATTTTTTTAAATTTGTATCTCTTTTTACGATATATAAAAATGATTAAGTTCTTACACGCTTACATAATAATGTGAGTACAATATTGCAAATGTATGTACATGTTGATTAAACATTTAATATTTTTTTAACGAATATGCAATTACGTTAACTACTTTTGTAAGCTTGTCTGTGTCTAATTTCCATTGCTAAAAATGGTTTAGTAATTCTAATCACTGTTTGTAGCTGCCCTTTAGTTAAAATCACCACCAATATTCTAAATATTAGGACTACCTACAGGTAGAAACACTCACATGATCAAAATAAAAACAACAATGTGTAGCAAAAAGGATGCGTTTTATTCAATTTCTCTACAACCCTGGTACTTAAGCAAAACTTTTAATGCATTTTAAAAAAAAATTATTATTCAAGACTGGTGTTTTAAAAAATTCAATGTATCTCTTTTTTTTTTTCAAATAAGAAATTCACCAACAATTGTACAAAAGAACTGTTAGTTGAAATTATCTCCCCTATCATTTTTTTTTATAAACTTAAAAAATGAAATTTAGCCTGTCTACCAATAGTGTTAATTTTAAAAGCAAGTCAACCTAATGTTAAATAACACATTGGGGAGGGGGAGGTTCATTTTAATGTTCACTTTGCATTTATTTTTAAAAAAAAAAGAATCCACTTAGTAAATTAAACAGGAAATTAAATAAACAATACACTTATTTAAAAAATAATTCAATCAAATAACATGTATGTATGATCAATGTTTGTTTATAAGGTGAATTTCATTTATAAAAATACAATAGTAAAGTTGCAAGTACTAATACAATTCTGTGCTTACTGTTCCAAACCTCAATCCTAAAAGTTTAATTTGAGTTCAACTTTTTAAAACTGGCCAGATTTTTATAAAACTTTTTTTTAAAATACAAAATGTAAATATATTGATGCCTCGTATTTCAAGAACTCAAAACTTGAAAAGGATTTATAACGATATACTTTTTGTATGTATGGTTGAAGACCTGTGATCTGAACTTGACTTGTATGAACCTACTACACCTGCATTCTCTCAGCACTTTTTAAAATAGTTGTAACCCTGCCGTATTTGTGAACACTTCTACACTTTTGTTAACACATGTAGTACCTAGAGAGCCACAAGCCTGTCGACTAAACTAAAATACAGAAAGGTCCAAAAAACCATTTTTCTCGCAGTTTTAAATTGAAATTTATTAAAACTTGCATAATTGCGCAATTTAAGGGACATAACCCGAACTTGTAAAACTTGTCACTTTGCAGGCAGTTAAGCACTCTTAAGCTAGGCATCATCACAACATGTGTTGCTGACATGGATAGGAATAAAATAAGGTTAATTCAATAGATTAGAAGAACAATGAGATACAAAAGTTTCAATTGGTTTTTCTGCTAGGATAATATGCAGTTATACCTAGATTTATTCTGTGTATTGAGTGTTTCATTAGAGTAGCTAACAGTCACTGATTATAGAACATACCAAGCACTGAATCAAGTGGGTTATTACAGTAGTTGTGACTAGTTATAGAACATCACCAAGCACTGAATCAAGTGCGTCATTACAGTAGCTAACTGTGACTGATTATAGAACATCACCAAACACTGAATCAAGTGGGTCATTACGGTAGGTAACTGTGATTGGTTATAGAACAAACATGAGGCCAGATACTTCCAAGCACTGAATGTGAAGTACAAGGCACCAATATAAACTTGATAAAATTATTTTAAACTACCTCAAATTTCCTTTTTTTTTTTTTTTTTTTTGCAAAATTACACAATTTTTTACAAAATGAGTCATTATCGGCCTAATATTGTAAAAAAAAATGTCATTATGATTGAAATATAAACATAAAACCTATACCAAATTGTTGTTTAATTATTTTTAAGCTTACATTATTCAGCCAATGATTTCAGAAACTCTCTTTTATCCTGTTCAAGTACATACTGTATGTAAAATTATTTCCCTTTAATCTAATTTTAAAGCCATTTCTTTATTCACTAACCCATCATTTCACTCCTACATTACATTTAAAATGCCCTATACAAAGCTGTGCTTATTATTAATTATCTGCAAATTATTTAAACGATTAAGTAAATCTATGTGTTGTTATTGATAACTATAAAAATAGGAAAACTATTTTTAAAAATACATTTTTAACAATGATTAGCATATTTAAATATATTCAACTATAATAAACATACATATTAAATATTTTCACAAACAATCTGGACACGACACACACAGTGGAAGATTACAATGTTGCCTACAGTAGAGAATAAAAGCAGAAGCAATTTACTCTCCAAAATAAAAGTTTAAACATGCTTCTTGATTACATCTCATTTATTAAATGATAGGGGGAATGGGTTAGATGGTGATGAACTGAATAACTGATTTTTCCAAACTCTGATTACTTTAAATTTTTTTAAAAATGTCAATTATTATACTAGGGTATTTTTTAAATTCAAAATGGGAATCAAGATATGAAACAATTCTTTTGATGTGTGTCCAATGGGATGACAAAAGAAATTGTTTTAAAGTTTAATTTTTTACGATGGAATGAGAACAAGTTTTTTTCTTAAATATACATACATACAGAAAACAAAAGTGATTGTCTAACTGTATAAGCAGTTCAAAGTAATTTTTTTACTAAAATAAAGTTTAATGGATGGAATGACCTAATATCCATGAGATAGAACAAGTTAAACTCCACTCTTAACTCTATGTTATCAATTAATTTTTAATTTTATTTCAGTTATGTTAAATATTTGTATTATTAATTAATGTGTTGAATGGCTTGTTTGTATTACTTCAAAATTAAATTAAATACAACCCTGAAGCACACTCATAGTCATTGGTTACATTAAACATTGGCCAGATAAATTGATTATAATATTGCCAAGAAAAAGATTTGGTAAAAATATTGGCCAGGTTGAACTGAATATTACAAAGACCGAATTAGGGCCTCCAAAAATTCAGGTTTCCACTAGCTAAAGCTTTACACAACTATTGTCTAAACATGAGATATAACCACAGAGTTGTTGAGGGCGTTTTGGATTTTAAAGAAAATTTAAGGCAATTAGTTTGTTCAAACGTGTCAATAACTACAATATTTTAACATTGTAACAGTTTAAACATGCATATCTAATACAGTTAAGTCAATTTAAAACTTCTTAGCCATACAATTAAGTAGAAATGATTATTTCTAATGTAGAAAAATTTCTAAAAGTAGTATTTTACACACACATTTTCTTTTTGGGGGTTTTTAATTTTTCATAAACCCAATGTTAAACTTCACTTGTGAAGATTTCCAATAGCAAAAATTGTGTCTAGACAATGACATCAAAATGCATGTAGTCAGTAATATTGCTTTAAGAGTTAACAAGACCAAAAACAAAGGTTGAAGATTAATTTTTGTTTGTTACAAACGGAAACAAAAAGAAAGCAAAAAAAATGCATGCATGATTTTGCAAATTGTTGACACAAAAATTAAGATATTATATTCACTTCAAAAATTTTAATAATTTAGTAAAAACAGATATCACACAGATTACACATTATTTGCTTTCCTGAATTCCTTGGCAATTCACTATAATTGAAATTAATCTTTAAAATAGCTATTTTACAAGTAAGGTTTCAGAAAGTTTAGTATATCTGATAAAGATTTTTTATTCCATGGTAATGACTTGGTAATTGCTGAAAATTTCAAATGATCAGACTTGATCAGCATTATAAACAGTTATAATTCTAGAACTGAAAACTATTTAAGAAAATATAAGCCCAGTTTCTAAAAAAATTAATTCAATGTCCGAGTTGGCATTTTGTTTTATTTTTTATCCGCTTCAAACAATTATTGAAAATAAATTTTTCTTTCTTTAAAAAAACCCTGCAATTATATAAACTTTTACAGTAAATTGATAAGTCTTAAAAATTCAGAAAAGACGTCATTGATGAAATATCTCACTGTTTAGACTATCAGCTGATTACTACCAAATGACTGAGGACTAATTGGACGGTGCAATAAGATAGATTCAATTAATTTAATTATACAAAAATTAATCAAGAGATTTTGAAATTATGTTAATACCAATCATTTTAAAATCATTTCATGTCAATGAAACTGATTAGAACTCTAATTCAAAGTAATTTTGGAGTATTTAACAGCATGTATCTTAAAAGCAAAAAAAAAAAAAAAAAAAAAAAAAAAAGGTATTATGTTCACTTTGTGAGAAATGAATAATTTTAAAAAAAGCTCATGATGCCAAGTCATTTGTTCAGTTTCTCACTTAAAACACTTGAGTGGACAAACATTTAAAAATCACAGTCAACACAATGCTGGCTGATGAGTCCAACCTGACATGCAATGTTTAAATAAAATGCTGATTTTTTTTTCTTTTGTCTCTGTGAACAACACAACTACGATGTCAAATTAAGCTGGGTTTTATATATTCAATATGAATAACAATAACAAAACAAAAAAATTTAAAACAATATTAAAATTGTCGCTAAACTGCATAAGTAAAAATTCATGAAATAAGTTAAATATGATTTCTATCTAAGTTTTAAAGAAAAAAGCTAGTGCTTAAAAAATAACTAACAAGTAACTGTATTGACAATAAAATTTGCTCCATGCATGTTTTTATTTAATTTTATCCTTTTTAAAAAAAAATGTAGCTAATGAAAACATCATTTAAAATAATGTTAAACATCATATAACAATAATTTCAATACAATATCCATGCATTCAATTATCAAATTATTTCCATTGAATTATAGTTTTAGTTTTTAACATGAATATTGCGAAGATTAAAAGAAATTAGTTAATCGTACTCCTGGACTAAAAAATTACCACTTTAAGAAGATTAAATGCAGGTGAAAATAAAAACGTATTTGAACAAGGCAATTGAGTTGACAGCACATGGTAACAAGAGGTGTTGATCAAAGATTGACTCCAAGTACTTTATCGCAGTCACTTTTTAAATAAGCAACAACACATTTCATACAAATTTAGAGCAAAAATATTTTTTATGAAAAGCTACAGCTATTTTAATCTACTTTTTTTGAAAAACCGATGCTAAGTTAATGAAAAAAAAAATCATTAAATTTTTTTCTTAAAATTCTTACATTTTTTTTCTTAAAAGATTATATCAAATTTGAAAAAAAAATTGAATTTTAAAATCAGCTTTTCAGTCACATTTTAAACTACTCCCTTAATAATGTTTGCATCATTTTTATAAAATAGTTGTATTTAAAAAAAAAACCAGCTGGTTGCCTGATTAAAAAAAACTATGTTAAATTACATCATTTGGGTACTTTTGTTGTGAATTGCTTCACACAAACACTGGGACAACAAAAACAAACAGTAAGCCTACATTGTTGACAAATACAAGAAATTTAACACCAGACATAATTACAAATTCAACAATTAATACGTTTAACACTAGACAAATGCTCACAATTAATTCACTAATGATTGAATAACATAACAAACACACACAAATATAACAACAAACAGTAACTTAAAACATATTTTTAAAAAGCTTTTAACAAAGACACATTTAACACACAATAACATACAGTTAAAGATAACAATATCTTTAATTCCTTGCAAGAAAGCACATTTTAAAACACTATATGAGATTCTATAGAGTGTATTTATCTCCAAAATTGAATTATCAAGACTAAAACAATCAGAAGATGCCACCTGTCTCATGGATTTCAAATATCCTTTAAGAAAACTTGATTTTTGCGCAATGAAATTAAATTTTTAATTCCAAATGTGGTTAACTAACCATTTTAAAAGTATCTCTGACTATCGTGCGACTAGGTTAGTAGAGGTATAAGAATGAATTACAAAGTGTACAACTACAAGTTAAAAAGGCATTTGAAGTCCCTAGTAACAAGAACATAAGAAACATACATATTCAAATCTGAATCTCGTTACATTAAAACAAAAATAGTTTTTAAAAATGCTAAGCTATGTACACACAACTTTATCAAAAATTTCCCAAATGTTCTTTTTTGCATTATTTAGGAGAAAAAATTGAAGCTTAATTTTGAAAGCATCACCATATGAATAGTTAACTGGCTTCAAATGTGATACTATGGGGATACCCTCTTCTCTCCACCCTAATATTTTGCCTACACGATGAAAATTTTAAAATAAATAATGGGCCCAACTCATTCAAAAATAATTAGCACAAATTGTAATTAAGAGAACACAATGTTAATTTATTTACGGATTATTACGGATTATTTCAAAACATGTGTATGTCATTCAGATATGGAAAAAATTGGATTTTTATTTTGATACATCTGATAGTGAAAATATCTAATTAGATACCATTATTTGGTATACTGAACTGCAGGTTTCAATGCATTTTTTTATAGTTAATTTAAAAAAAAACAACAAACAAACCTATGTATCTTCTTTTCAGACTTGTGTAGAATGGAATATAGAATACTATTCAATGGTTTGACTGTACTATGTTTAAAGATAAAATGTTCAATAAGAGTGCTCTGAATTTGGTGAAATGATGTGAAAAGTGCTAATAAAGGGTTTTGCTTTAATTTTTGAAAGTGATGAGACTATTTATTGGATAAAAACCCTCCTTAAACTGGAGTTGGTAAGTAGGTTAGATGGGTTAAGCCTAGTGTGAAAACAACACAATAATATTTTGGTTATGTGTTATACTTTCATTAACTACAAACTCTAATTGTATGATGTGTATTTATTGAAAAACTGCATTTTAAAACATGACATACAATGTTATTTTTGTGCATAAACCCAAAATCTTTAATCAGAGTAATATGCAGTATATAATGATCACATAAGTAAATATAATATATCCATATAATTTATATATTATATAAAATATAGAATGGAGTTTCATAAAGCTAGATTATGAATGAGCAATTGGATGTCTAAGGTCTCTCTAGTCAAAGTGAAAGCAAACAGAACAATTTTTATTCTAAAGCAAATTTGATTTTCTTTTTTAAAAAGAAATTTTCCAGTAGTCGTTGCCATAGAATTTTAATTTAGAAAAACATTTCTGCTTAAACAAAATTAAAAAGCATTTCTTGTAGCACATGCCCTTATTACAAAAATTGTGTAGAACGTGCTGAGGAGTTTTAGCTGATAGCAAAGGAAAAGGCTCAAGTGAGTTTTGAAATTATTCTAACCAACCAACTTACAGATGCAAAAGAAAAAATTTAGAAAATACAATTATTTTGGAATTCGAATAGATTTTCACAAGTTATTTTAAAAAAAGCATCTGCATGATTGTTTTTTTTTCAACTTCAAGACAAAGTTTGGGTCAAAGTTACAGATGTTTTTGCAACATGCTATAGCCACAACTATTTAACAGTATTAATGGAGTACGTAGTTACTTATGTGGGAGGGGGGGGGCACTTCTGATTTAAATTATTAAAAAAAACAGTACACAATACAAATCTCAACTCCAACAGGTGATTTTGTTTTAAATCATATTTTTTAACAATGACAGAGCTAAGGTGATACAGTGGATGGTTAAAATATATTAAAACATAGGACATAGTCATACATCACAATTTGATACATCAATTGTAGTAGACAAACATTCTACATAATTTCTCAAAAAGAAAAAAAGCATTTGATAATGCTTTGATAATCCTTTATTCAAAGCTATATGCATGAGTGTATATATAAATATTTAACTTGAACAACTAAAAAAAAACACTTTGAACTACAGAAATCTTAAAATACAAATTTAACTACAAAAATAAAGACACCAAAATGATTAAAAGAAAATACTCTAATAATGTTAAGCAATTTAAATCTCAACATTTGATTAACACAAACATGATGACAGAATATATGTATCATTATATGGTTACACTGTAAGATTAATATAGTTTGTTGAACTTAAAAATAAGGGATGTGCTACCTAGGAAAGGGTTGTTGCCCTGTACAAGTTATCTACCCTGTTACATCTCTCCCTGTTAATTTTTTTTTTAAATGTCAGTTTTTAGTAACCACTAATCTCAAATAGATTAAAAAATGTTAAGATTTATCTTTCCTGCATAGATAATAAATTATTAGAAGGAAGACAAAATTGCAATTTTTTTTTACAATTTACTTTAATTTTTATACATCTCAGTGTATTTAAAATTATAACTAATTAATTTTAATTAATTATTTTTTTATTTTTAAGATCAGCACACAGATGAAAATAAAATACTGGTACATGATGAGTGATGTCAGGTTAAAGAATGAAAAAAGCAACTTAAAAGAACATTTAAAATATACGGGAGAGTTTTCATGGTTTTCATTAATGTTGCATGATATGCTCACCACCAATCTAAAGCAAATATTGAAACAGAAAAAAACTAACAAAAATTTGAACAGGCAATTGCAATTTCAATATTTACATAAATTATTTTTCCTATTTGAATTCTTTTTTTTTGCATGAAGCTTAATTTTATTTTTAAACGGTTGCCGCAAATTTAATACTTTATTCATAGCCAGCAAATAAGTTAGTTGAAAAGAATCAGTAAATATTCAATGGATTCTTTTGTCAGGGAAGCAAGTTATCAATCAAGAGCAGTCGAAACTACAGCAGTCACTATGGAACTCAAATACGTTTCTATCCAAATCTTGTCCGCTTAACCTAAACATGATATGTTTAGCATCTAATAATTAACTAAAGCTATGATAACATTAATCGGAAATATATAGATATATATGAGCGATGCCTAATTAGTATGTCAATACAATCAAACTTAGTGGTATTTCCCTTTAAGTTACAAGGACTCTAATTAAAAATGGAAGTTATATCTAAGGAATGCATCACAAATGTATTGACACATTGGGTGTGCACACGGGTCAACCATTAAACAGCAACAAAAAGTCAATGAGAATAATGTGGAACAGTTTCTGATTTATTTTTCTGCTGGAGAAAGCCAACCATTTATCATTCTGTGGAGGGCAGCTAAAATAACTAAGTCAAAGACGAAATTTGCCAAAAAGCATTTTAAAAATTATTTTTAGTTTGCTGGTATAAATGACTAAAATTGAAAATTATATTGTCAAGTTCTTTTTATCTCGTTCGCTTTAAAAATAGATTTCTAAAAATTCTTTCCCAAGCATTGAGAAAATAGTAATTCTAAAATAGGGGTAGGGGAAGGGGTGAGGGTGGGAGAACTCAAATGATTTACAAAATACATCAACACAAAATGAAAATATTGCATTACTTTAAGAATGTAAAAGTTTTCACAAAGTTTCAAACACTATACAAAGCAAGTTGTTTCCAAGCTAATCGAAGAAAAAAAAATTGTCTGAATAAATACAAATCAGCACACAATAATTGGCACACTTTGTATAGTTACACAACTTTATTTTGTCAAAAAATAATTTCATTAAAGCTAAATGAAGTCCTCCAGACAGTCCTTTCCCTATGCATGAGTATTAGTGGGTTCAAATTTTGGCCAGAAAAATTCTCTAGGTATCGGGTCTAAAGTCCAAACAAAATTTGAGAACACAAATGTCTTTAATATACAACCTACATCTAAAACAATTTTTGAAATCTGTGTATTCTTGCTCTACCTACCACATCCACTGTATGCCCTTAATTGTTACTTCTTGACATTATGGAATTTTTAAAAAAAATTGCTATATATAAATATTTATATATATATATATATCATTCAAATAAGTCTGAATGGTTTCAGGGAAGATTGTTTAAGTTTCTCATATGACAGAGAAGTGTATATTTTCCCTCCTTTACTTTAGATACATTTTAAAAGCAGTCAATCATAAGTAAATAATTCAGTTAACGAATTACAATTGTACAAGTGTAATAAAATGTTTATTCTTCTCCCCAGCCTGGTTAAACATGCAAGCTGCAAGTTGGCTAGAAAAAAAAAACATGCATTTTCTTTAAGTCTTTTTTTAGTTCTTCTCCCATGTTGAGAAATTGGAAAAAAAATGTATAACCATATTTCATTTCTTTCCAAACATGTCAGTCATTTGTAAGTCATAACACAAATGTCTATAAACACAATGGATTACTAGCGTGACTTAGAAAATGTTAAGCATGATTTCTTCTACCATGATATCCCACAATAGAAGCTTGTTTATACTCCAACTGCAACTAACACAAAGATATTAAACAATCGGCCACGAGTAAAAAGAAAGAAACTGACCAAAATAAAGTGACAATTATCTTTAGATAATTCTGGTCCTACTATTATGGATGACACGGCTAAGACTCCCCATCTTCAGGGGCCCTCAGTTCTTTGATCTGCTTAATAAGATAGCTCTTCTCATCATTGAACTGCTCATCCTCCGAGCGCTCTGTATGGAATCTGGTTAAGAAATCCACCAGCTTCTCTTTGTTACGGAGCAAGATATCCAAGATGGGTCTTGGCTTGTTTGGATTAGCAACAAAAATCTGAAAACAAGTATGTTAGATATTACTTTTAGTGCTAGATTTAGTATAACTTCTTAAGTATAACTTCAGAACTTTCAGAATACAATTATGAAATTTTATTTCAACTAGTTTTTTTCAAAATGTTTAATTAAATTTTTAAGGCCCAATATAAAATACGGGCCTATACCAATATTAACTTAATAATAGCTAATAGAAAACAGAAAAAAAGAGGTTTAATATGTTCTTTAAACTTTTCATTTGTGAAATAGTATTGGAATGGTTCATACATTAAAGTAGTAACTAATATTTTTTTTACAACTTTTTGACGCATACTTAAAAAAATAAATGTTGAGTGATGGATACCAATAAAACACTGAATCTTTGAAAACAGACAATTATCTGCCCCTGTCCGTGATTAGTCCTAAAGCATGAAGAAATCTCTGAAGTCGCTCACCTCCCACACCTGATTGATCTCAAAATTGCTGACCATTTTTAAAGTATAGAAAACTTTATATTAATTTTGTATAAATAATTTAATAACTAATTAAATATTCTTGCATTGTCATCGGAAACAGATTCATTCGAAAACAAAATAACTAAAATAGAAGTGGATTAAAACTGAGTTACAAGATTTGACCACAAACCAAACCACAGGAAGATAAAAAAACTTTGTCATTTTTCAAACTGATCGTTAAAAGCTGTTTTATAAACATCTAGAGATGCCATTAATTTTAATATTGGTCAGGGGGTGAACACAGTAACAAAAGAATAGCATAAAACTATTCAATCAGGAGACTTCAAGAAATGGTATAATTATAGACTTGAGAATTTCCCTTGGAAATAATCTTCTACTTATCATTTTCCCACATAGCTATAAATATGTATATTTTGTAATTCTACAAAATAATGAATTATATAAACCGGGAGTGATTTCAACTAAACTTTCTTGAATATTCTTATTTAACACAACGGGGGATGGCAACTCGGAATATAGATATGATTTTTAATTACTTATACTTTTTAAAATAGAATAGAATCTTGTAGAAAAAAAGATTGCACACAAAGTGACCGCTAAATAATGTGTATAATAGTGAGGAATATTATTAGTACTTTATAAATTCACATGCGTTTTTTGAGAAATCGGAAATAGCGTAAATTACTCAAAATTTGATAGAAGGCAGAAAAGTCGATCTTTTACTTATGTTAAACTTCCTTCATCTATCTGAAACAGTTTTAAAGTTAAAGGCTTTTGAAAAATTGAAAGTAGAATAAGTTCCACTTCTGGTTACTGAAAATTGCTGCAAAGTTGATATAGAACTACAAATTTGATATAATACTTATATATAAAACTAGCTGTAACGGTGTTCAAGTTATTGTGTTTACAGATACACACACAGACATACGGATAAAATTGCAAAACTATGTTTTTCCGACTCAGGGAGGTGTAAAACGTAGAGATTTGTAAAAATCTCAATTTTTTTTTTTGCATGATTTCAATAATTTCTAAATACTTCTTTTTACAATACTTTCTATATACTTCGTATATGAGAACGTAAAAAGGTAATTTTTTTCTGGAAACTTCTCTGGACTCATTCTGACAGACAAAATTTTAAAATAACACTGTTTATGCCTGCTGTTGAAAAAGTCATTTGTACAATATGAAACTGTGTAAACTGGCCCTAAAAGACGTATTTTATTAGTGCTGCTAAAAGGAAGGCTAAAACTAGAAAGAATGGCAAAATATTTCTAGGGATATAGAAGCATCCATATATCTCCTTTCAATTCTTTATTTTAAATAGGTTACTTTTGAATAGGGTTAGAATGCCTAATTGATAATTTTTACTGGTGATTTTTTTTTTTTGGGATTTTTAAAAATATGCACAAAGTTTATTTTAAAACTCGATCTGGTACTTGAAAATTATAGGGTATCGGCTTTAATAATGTATCAGCTTTAATAAAATGCAACAGTTGTTAGCATGGTGCTAATAATAAGCTAAATGCTTAAAAACCTTTAAACCTTCAACTTAATCGTGGCTGAACAGGTGGGAATAGCTGAACCAAATTAACAAACAATAAAACAAGAATAAAACATTTTATGTTGAAAATTAGATATTCTTGCATTGTCACCAGAAACGAACTAGGCAAGTTTGAAAGAATTAGCTGAATTAGAAATTGGTCAACATTGAGCAACAAGATTAACCAGATAATCCCAGACAGACATAGAAACGGAAGCATAAGCTTGTAAAAACCATCAGCTGTACCTTGAACACATGAAAGGCCTCAAACTGGATGTTTCGCGACTTCTCCCTCAGCATGTTCATCATCAGCTTTAAATTCTCAGGGTTGCTGATGTAGCGATTCATCGTGCTGAAGTTGTGGCGATCCAACAACAGCTCACCCAGCAGCTAGAGGGGGTAAAAATAATCAATTGTACAGCTAATTAACATTTTTTTTAATTACAAATACACACAACTGCTTGCATACTTAGAGATACCATCTACAGCTTACCTTTAAATGAGTTAGCAGTTAAATTAAATACAAATTTACATAAACAAGCCTGCTTAGATACCAAAATATACAATCTACAGCTAATTTGTGGTTGAGTTAATTCTCCAGGTTAATTTACATGCACACAGCTGGTTGAATTCACATTAAACTGCCAAAGCTATCACAAAGAGATTACTTTCAGAGCCAGGCTGCAGGGGAAGCAGAGACTGGTCGTGTGAGAAAACCTCAAAGTATACCACAATCTTGTCTGTCTACGAGTGACATATTTATCAGAGTTGAGACTGGTCAAATTATACCACAATCTTACCTTTGGAGCCTGCCTTGTGTGACATAGTTATTAGAGATGAGAGACTAGTAGTTTGTGAAAACATCAAAGTATACCACAATCTTACCTTCAGAGCCTGCCTACGAGTGAGTTATCATAGTTGAGAGACTGGTAGTTAGTGAAAACATCAAAGTATACCACAATCTTACCTTCAGAGCCTGCCTACGAGTGAGTTATCATAGTTGAGAGACTGGTAGTTGGTGAAAACATCAAAGTATACCACAATCTTACCTTCAGAGCCTGCCTACGAGTGAGTTATCATAGTTGAGAGACTGGTAGTTAGTGAAAACATCAAAGTATACCACAATCTTACCTTCAGAGCCTGCCTACGAGTGAGTTATCATAGTTGAGAGACTGGTAGTTAGTGAAAACATCAAAGTATACCACAATCTTACCTTCAGAGCCTGCCTACGAGTGAGTTATCATAGTTGAGAGACTGGTAGTTTGTGAAAACATCAAAGTATACCACAATCTTACCTTCAGAGCCTGCCTACGAGTGACAGTTATCATAGTTGAGAGACTGGTAGTTTGTGAAAACATCAAAGTATACCACAATCTTACCTTCAGACATAGTTATCATAGTTGAGAGACTGGTAGTTAGTGAAAACATCAAAGTATACCACAATCTTACCTTCAGAGCTTGCCTACGAGTGAGTTATCATAGTTGAGAGACTGGTAGTTAGTGAAAACATCAAAGTATAACACAATCTTACCTTCAGAGCCTGCCTACGGGTGACATAGTTATCAGAGTTGAGAAGTGACTGGTAGTGAGAGAAAACCTCATCATAGTTGTGTTCAAGGAACTCTGCTGACAACATCTTGTGCTTCGTCAAGAGCTCCTGAGAATAGAACAAACATAACATACAAGTATACTTTCCATCACCAATTTATACGTACATCTTATAGCCATGCAACTCAAGTTAACTATCGGCAAGAAAAGAAATTAGCAGTAGCGTTAAATACCTTAAAAGTTGAGAAAGCATCAGAAGCAATATCAAAGGTCGACACCTCCACATATTCAAAGAATTTGTAGAATTCAGGCGCATTCAACAAAATCTTGGCAAGGGACTCAAATCGACAACACTCACGCAGCATCATCCCACAGTTCAGAGCAATTTCTTGATTCTCATAACTGAAGAGTACGTTTTTAAAAGTTAAGACCACATGTTTGATGTATAACAGAAATTTTCAAAAACCGTTTTCTGGCTATATACTTTAAAAACTGACTATAGTAATAGCTTATACAATCTTGTAAATGTAGATGTTTTAATTGCTCCAATAATTAGAAAAGGTATTAATAATGTATAAAAGAAAGAAAATATGGTTGATAAAAGGCGAAGTATCTGTTTAATCAAACAGGTCAATCTCATAGTTAAAATTTAAGTGTGCTCAAGTTTCTAAAAAAATGTAGCACCTGTTACCTACCCTTTCACTAGCTCTATCAAAACACTATGATTTAAGATAATATATTCCTCTGTTGGTGTGCGAGTTCCAATCTGACGACGTAATAAATTATTGAAGATGGCAACCACATCTTTTCTACCCTGTAAACAGAAGTTAAAGTGAACTTAAAAAACAGAAAACATGAAGTTGATGATTATAAATACCAACTCTACAGGGCATGCCCCAAACTATATTTTTATTAAAGAAAATAATTTCAAATCATATAATATTTACAATTTAGCCTAACCAAAATATGTAGGTTATTGTAGTGTACGAAACCAGGACAGGAATTCAGGTGAATTAGATCCATTTATTTATAGTGGTTATAAAACGGTTTTTAAAAAGTTAGTTATGCATAAATGCATGAATCACTGCATACAAATTAGCAAATTAGTCAAGTATAAATTCTGGGATGACAAGTGTTTTTTTTATTATTATAAACAAAATCTCTGCCCAGGGTCAAAGGGAAATCCAATCCACAAGTACTTAAACAAAATAGCTACATCACAACATACATTAAGGCTTGTTCAGCTATATTAGTGGACATGTTAAGTGAATAAATAAATGCAACTACTTTATAGCAAAAATAAATAACAACCCAAAAAAAAAATAATTTAAATTCTTATACAGTAGGCATACATGGAAATAATTTATAAATAAAACAAGCATAGATACAGTAGGATTGAATCAAACTAATTTGACAAAGTACTTGACCTACCTCAAAGTCTACCCGAGCCAGGTTCTGTATAAGCAAAGGTAGGGTATTGGTCTGGTACATCTCTGTAGACAGCATGGCTACCTGTTCTGTTGCTGGCTCCTGGTCTACTGTCCCATACAACATGGTCTTGATAGACTGAAGCGTCTTGGACACCTCTTCACTCACCTGTTAAGTAGCCGAGTTTAAACACTGAGCTAATTCAAACAATTGTAGTGCTACTAAAAGTAGACTGATTGTGAGTGTTCCACAAACAGGAATACTTTGATTGTGAGTTTTACATCCAGTAATAACAAACAGCTGTTTCAACTTTAAAGAAGGTTAACTTACAACAGACAGTTAAAAAAGTATTTTTTTGATGTGTATTATAAACTAAATATTAGGGATGGTGTGGTCGAGTAGTAGTTCCCTTTCAAACCTGACGGTCTATGGGGCAAGTGAAGTAAAGTTCACTTGTTTCTGTGACCTCGGCATATGAAGAGATAGTGTGGTCAGCACTATGACCAGCCGGGTCGAGTGGTACAGAGTTAACGCAAAAGTCTCCAGATTGGATCCCAGGCTAGTGGAGTCCTTACAACGTTCATGAGTCCATCCATCACTGATGGGCACCTGATTTTACTTAGGGAAAGTAAAGACAGCTAAGCTTAGTACTGACCACACTATTCCTTTACCAGCTCCACAGGACACAAGGTTCAAAAGGGTACTTTTTAAGTACTCCATAAGATTCACCGATCCTATATCAAATAATTAAAAAGGGGATAAAATGCTTTGATGCACACAACAGGTCAGGTTTTATTGAAGAGTAACTCCAAGCTCAACGACTCACATGAACTTAAAAACACACAAAAAGAAAATCAATGTAGACAAGCTATAAAACATGATACCAAGCTAGTTTTACAATCTACTGTGGGTCATGAAATAAGGTTACCTTTTTATACTCCTTTTCCTTTAAGCCATGAAGCTGTGCTAAATTCTCCTTCAAAGAGCGCACTAGCTCCTGAGGGCTTTTTGTTCGAGTACCAAAAAGTGGCATGTTGATAGGTTACTTAAATAGACCAATGAAAACTATTCTTGAAAAAAAATGTGATTTTTCGCTAATGACAACTCTCCATCAATTTACTTTCTTGCTGGAAACTTGTTGCTTATTTTAGATTATATAATCCCTTTTAGTGTACAGAAATGTGGAACTTGATTTTAAAATTTTCCTTTCAATCCTAAACAGCTGTAAAAAAATTCTGTAGTAATCCCTGTTTGAGTTGTCCTTCCTGAAAGATAGAAGTAAATATAAGGTTACATATTTTATGAGCAACACACCATTGAAACAGTAACACACCACTAAAAGTGTCATGAGTCTGAATACTGATTGTTACTTGAGAATAAAATTATGTAAGTGTGTGTAATATATAAATAAACTATGATAAACCTAGTACAACACTAGCCAAAAACCACAAAAGAAATAGAGAAAACAGGGAGTGAAGATTTAAATAAAACACAATTAACTTTTTTTTCTTCAGTAGCAATTTGAAAGGTTGAAAGGGTTCCTTCAAGAACCAGTTTGCTCTGAGCAGCATAAAGGCGTGCATAGTTTTAAATCAGGTAGAGTGCACAAACAAAAGCCTGTCAGTCTTTTGTCTAACTTAAAACATTGTGCAATTTATTTCTTCAGACCACTTTCTCACAGCCAACCACAACTCAGTACACTATTTACAATCCAACTTTTTATGAAACCACAGAGTTCATTGCCCCCTAATTAAACTAGGCAAACTCTTCCTCCTGCCCACAATACTTGTTAATTATAATGATTGATAGGGAATGAAGTGAAGCCTTTCACTTTTATCACAAGATTTTTTTTAATTTTGAAATTTGAATATTTTGTTTTAAGAATTATATATTAGAAAATGCTTCAAATTTTAAACTTTAATCAATTGTGCAGAAATTATTTTTTACTTACTTATAGTGAAAAGGCAGCTTTTGTATAATGATTTTTAAAAATATGATAGTCTTAGTATTCACATGAAGTAGAATTTATTTTAAAATTACAATGGATAATAGTAATAACACAGAGACATAGATGCATAAAATATGCTGTCCACAAACTTTGCACACAGCATTATCTACTCCACCCCAACCACCACCAAATCATTTGAAGGCATTTAATGCAAGGCAATCTTTGAACTGCCACTCACTTTGTTTGAAATAAACAGACAAAGGGCATTAGGTTTTGGCATTAAAATGACCTTTATAGATGATAAATTGTGAAATTCAGTCAGAATAAAATAAATGTAAGAGTGTGGGGAGTAGAAGGGGTGGGGGTGAGAGAGAATCAGAGCCAGAGAACATGCAACAAAACACATGCCATCTGACATTTTCACAGGACAACTCTGTCATGAAGAAGGCTACAGCTGTTTCAACTTTAAAATAAAACTCCTGACATAAAGGTCATACACAATCTCTAAGTAACACCTCAGCTGAATAACAACAACTTGCTATACAAGTTATACAAGAACCCACTATTACCTGCTAGTTTTATGATACAAGGCTAACTACATTTCCCATAAACTAAGTTTTTTTCTTCTTTTTTTTTCAAGGTGACAATCAATCAATATGTATTTTACAACTGTCAACACCCCACCACAGAAACTGAATGCTATTCAATGCAGTTGTACTGCAGCAAAATTCTAATCAGAGGAATGTTTACCTTTTTCACTGCCCTGAGCAAATAAGGCTAAAATGTGGGATAATGAGTACTCACAAACAACGCCCTGCGTGGCTTAATTAACAAAGCATATATGATACTATTGTACAGATAACAATACACACTAGGCATGAGGGAATGTCATTTAGCATTCTTGAAAATTAAATCTAGAAGGTAGATACAGACACAAACTATATTAAATATGCCATGTTAAAGGAGTGAATATTTTAAAGATATATCAGTAATGTTAGAGAAGAAGCTTATGATTTAAAATATCAATATCATGTCTATCCTACTAACACACAGCATACCTACACCATGTACTACACAACACTGAAGATTAAACCAAGCATAAAAGCCTAAGTAACAACAAAGGAACATCTGAGATTAATTGCTGTTCAACTGGAATGAAAAATGCAGCCAAACATGAGCCTATACATCACTAAATAACATGTCTGATGTATGCATACACTTTGGTTCAAGCAATGTAGAGATTCAACAAGTACAAAAATAACAGAACAGGCTTAATTTTATTCCTGGTATCAAGTAGAACAACCAGGAAAAAATACATACAATTACAATGTATTCAATTGTTTGTTTATGGGAAAGTAAAGTAACTAGAAAAACAAAACAAAAAGTACAATACTTTGTCATATTTTCCAAAACAGAAATAATCTTCAATTGCCTCGATTGTAAATAAAAAGAAAACTAATCTTCCAGACCACAACAGCTCAATATAAAATATAATATAATAAATTCAGTGAACCGAATATTCGATACTTGAATGCTTATCATTAAAAAGGTGTGGAGAGCAAGTGCTACCAAGACACATTTTATGAGCAATAAGTTGCATGCAATAGTCAAAGGTGGATAAACAATGTAGATGCCACTCAATATAATTATGACACAGTAGTTAAGTTACCAACAAGACTTTACTTGGGTTCCAGAATAAACAGGTTACTTTACCAGAAAATGTATTTAATGCACAGTATGTATGCCTAGAACAGAAACTCAGTAACCACTAATGAAGGGTTTTTCTACAACATACGAAAGCTGTCATTTTTGTGTACCACATGGCACAATATAAGTATAGGAAAATAAAAATGTATAATTGTTAATCAATACAATAATTTATACAAATTACACAATTTTACTTTGCAATTCATAACTTTTAAATAATAAAATATGAAATTTTTCATTTTAAATAAAAATGTAAACAAAAAAATGGATTGACAGTATTGACACTGTTATTAATTGTTATAGAATTAGAAGCTTGCTAAACAGCCAGAATCAGTTTGAAATTGTTTTCACTGATCCTTTTTTTTTTTTACACATTTTTATTCATTTTTAATTGATAAATCTTTATGTTTAGAGATAATCAAGTTCAAGGAGTGAGTTTCACATTTTATAGTTGGTAACAGCAGTGGTGGCACTTAAAATGTTAAGAAGCCAATAGACAAAAAGTATATTTCTCTTTAAGTTTTCATAAAATACATGCTCATGTAATTACAGTATTGTTTAACTAAATGTTATGCATTACAAATAATTTAATGGAATAAAGTAAAAATTAAACTATGGGACAGATGAGGTCTTTTATAGAAAATTTTGATGTAGAAATTAATTTATGGAGTCATTTATAACAACACTATAAGAATTAGAAATCATATACAACTATAATGCTCAATAATTTCTCAAAAATGTATTTGCGAACCCAATTTTAACACGACGCTATTAAATTAAACAATTTCCTTTTTAACCTATCCTATTGTTTTTCCTTTTGAAGTTTACTAAGTAGGACCTGCGTCCCTATAGCATAGTCGCTATCCGGACCCAGCATAAAGTTTGGTCTATAGCTATATAGTGGAATAAGATCAATTAAAATTATACCTTTTGTTATTTGATTTATCTAGTGCATTTGCTTGTTTTGTGTGTGTGTGTTAAATAGTTCTTCAGATTTGCTAGTGTTAGGACCAACAAATTCTAAATACCTCATATTTAGGCATTAAATATTGCTTAATTAATGTACGGTTTCATGGCCGAGAGTATAACGTCATGACTTCAAAACATCGGAAAATACTGGTTTGGAACCTAACTAAACTATAATTCCCCTTTGCTTGTTCTTGGAAAATCAGAAGCCAGTTTTGTGCGAGAAGAAAAGTATTCAAACTAGTAGATCTATCACAAATGTTGCATGTTTTTATTATAAAATATAGATTCTAGATCTATAACTTTTCTAGTTTTAGATATTTAAACATGCCAATTCTTAGCGTAGTTGCTCCTATTATCGCTCGCTCAAGTTTTTTTTTTTTTGTCAGTGGGAAAAAATACTGACATGGTTTTACTTAGTGAAATCGTCATAGAAAGAACATTGCAGTTTGAGAATGCTGATGATGTTACTTTTATTTGTCCCCAAAAAATGTATTTGGGGGATCATTGTGAGTTCATTTAAGTTACAAAAGCTTCTCTATTAAAGCATACTACCATGCATGTAAGATATTAGTGTTCAAGAAACCAGGCCTGGGAATTGTAGCCTACATTCAGGTATTTTATACAATTATGACGTTTAAACTTTTGAATGAAATAAAATATATTTGCGTTTACAGGAAAATAAAAGTATATTTTACATGCACGCTCAACATTCTTTCCATCAAAGTTCACAACTAAGACCATATATAATAGATCTTACGATAACTATTTGCTGTGACATTAGGTAGGAATTATATCAGGTAGGCCCTATTTAAAGCAAAATCTCTAAGATATTTTATAAAAAGGAAAAAATTAACATAAAGATATATCATACATCTTAAAAGTTTTAGGCATATTGTGTAACTAAATGTTAATCAATTTAATGCCAGGTCCGAACAGCAGATGAGGTTAGTCGTAGCTCTATTAAAAAAAAAAGTTGCTAATTTAACTTATGTTAGGGACATGGATATGACGCGCGCTTTGCCGCGGGCGAGGAGAGCTGTTCGCCGATACCATGATTTTGAGCTACGGCGTTTTTTGCGATGGGCCGTTTCGAAAAAAAAAAATTTCTCCTACAACCCAAATGATTTTTATCATGGTTTTAATAGATTTACAACTAGAAATGGACATCTTTTTTAGTTACAAGTTGTTTTTTGTTCCAATGGATTATTATTTTACGGAGTTTTTCATTGAAAATAAGGCAAGTTTGAGCACATTTTTCAGATATAGCATTTTATGGCACAGTAATAAGTTTAAAGGCACAAATAGAACAACCATTTTTCTATATGAATATCAAAATTTCTTAGCGACAATCGGACTCAAAAAGGTTTTATTTGGGACCAAGAAAGCATCTCTGATTTCAACAAACCGGATGCTTATAATAGTAGTGATTTAAATAATGAAACTAAAACCGGAAGTTAGCAAAAATCGGAATTTCCCAAATATTGTCAATGTAAGATATTAGTGTTCAAGAAACCAGGCCTGGGAATTGTAGCCTACATTCAGGTATTTTATACAATTATGACGTTTAAACTTTTGAATGAAATAAAATATATTTGCGTTTACAGGAAAATAAAAGTATATTTTACATGCACGCTCAACATT